TGCTGAAGGTCATTAACACAAACTTCCCTCACTTTGGAAAAATAACTACGGGGTCCCTTTTTGTTTCTTAGATGAGTGTCAGCTTAGAATGGTAAGCTTGCTGATTAGATTTTAGGATGGTTCTTGAAACCGGAAAACACTTCAGATCTATGATAATAAGATTTGTTTCTAGGTTTTAATATAGTATGGCTTACCTAGAGCATTCACATGACACTTAAGAAGGAAGTTCTGCATATTTTGAAATGATATTTTTGTATCTCAGAATGTGAACACACACTGCATGTTCTCAGTTCAAAGCATTTTGTTTTGATCTAAAAAAATTAAAAATCCTTGTCTACTTTTAAACTGTAACAGCATATTTGGTGTTTTAACATGTATTTAATAACTGATGTGCTCCTCAAAAGTATAAGGGAACTCATTATTTTCTATTTAGGAGGAAAAAAGACTGGAGAAATTCAGTTTCTTTTTTAAAGATGTATATAGCAATTGAGACTTCATTTTCATCGGGTTGTTGTCTATGTAACTGTTTTATCAAAAATACCTTTTTTTTTTTTTTTTTTTTTTACTGGCTTGTTTGTTGATTGAAAACCATTTTATTTGAACACAGTATTTATAATTTCCTTTTATATGAATATTTGTAATAAATAAACCACTGACTTTATTTAAAAAAAAATCCTTTTTCTTTCTTTTTATTCTAGTAATATTTGAATAGGAATTCCATCTTTTGCTCCTTTCATTTATTTAAAAAAAAAAAAAAAGTTCTAAAATGTTTTGTACAAGCCCCGCACCAGAGATGATATCAGGCAGTGGTAGCTGCAAGTCCGAAGCTCTACTGTTGGTCTTGTGGTATGATGCAGAGGTACCCAAACTTTTTTTTACCCCCTTCCTGATTTACCAGCTGCCCACATACCCCTAGCAGCATATTTTAACACCTTTAAATGACAATTATCATAATGAAAATTAAATCTGCTGTTACAAAATCCACCCCCTCCTCAGAATGTCTTGTGTACCCCCATGGGTATGTGTACCATAATTTGGGAACCTTTGGTATAATGTATACATCTCGATTCCTTTTGCCAAAGGTTTCATGGTCATGCAGAAGGTTTGATGTTCCCGTGCTGATTTTGTGCGTGTGGCCATGCAGTAGCTTTAAAATCACAGCGGATGAGAGTGAGTGATACCAGCTTGTAGAGGAGGGGGGCTTGCTTCCCAGCTCTGCTACCTCAGAAGAGGAATACTTTTGAGTGAGTGTTTAAGGGGAGGGACTTCCTAGCACTGAAGAACAAAAAAGATTTCTGCATTGCCTTCCCTGTCATTTTAAAGTTTTTGAACAAAGGTCATGGTTATAAGAGCAGTTTCACAGTATTTCCTCCTGTAGATGGGCTTGGTGACCAGCCTCCCGCAGCCATCCCATCCCTGTCCTCTCCAGGCGCCCTGGAGTCAGGATCTTGCCAAGGCTCGCCAACTCCATTTGTATCTATTTCAGGAGGTTTCACTGCACGATGCAATGGCATTCATGGCCATCATAGAGGACGTTTGGTTTTCTGCTCCTCTGTCCTCTATTGATGCGAAACCTGATACTTTTACGTCCTCTATTTTTCTCTTCAAGAGTAATAATATGCCCTCTATTTTTAGATGTCTTCCTTTATGTCGTCTACTTAAGAGAAAAATAGAGGATGTCATTGGCGACAGGTAGGGGGTGCATGTGCACCCCTGAGCTTGGCAGTGCACCCCCTGCAAAAAGCACCACTGATGCCGCTGGTGGCGCCTGCAGGCAGTTGCCGCTTGCCCCCCCTTCGCCACTGACACCGCGGGTGGTATCTGCGGGCAGCCTCCGATCACCGCTGGCAACGCTGCCGGCAGTGCTGTGACTGCCTGCGGGAGCTCGCTGTGCCCCCCAGCCTCCGGGGCACGCGGCATTCACAGAGGACACAAAGGCGTCCGGTTTTGTATCAACAGAGGACAACCGGACTGTCCTCTGCGACGGCCATCCTGTGACTGATCTGTGCTGACTCGACTTCCCATCCGGAAGGCAAATGCACAACACTACTCCATGTAACACCCCGTCGCTGGACAAATCGGATTGCACATTTAATATCTGTTGCAACAAATGCCCCATCGCTGATCTCCCGGCATCTCCTGGACGGCCCGTCTCGTTCCTGGAGGCCCCGGGGCAGCCTCGGGGGTGGGGGGGGCCCTACCCCCTCGCCAGCGCAGCAGGTTTGGGGCCAGGACGGAAGGCTGCGGCCGGGGAGGTGCCGCGCGTGGCCGTGGCTGTGGCTGTGTCCCCCCGCCCCGGGCCCGGCTGAGGTGAGGGGCGCCGAGGTGACCGCGGACCCCGGGGCTTCGTTGCAAGTATGGGGCTTGCTGTAGATGGGGGCGGGGCGCCCGGAAGGGGCGGGCCCTTCCGGCGGCCGCCGTTTCCATGGCACCCGGGCCTAGGCCAAGATGGCGGCCGCCGCGCAGCCGTGGGCCGTGATGGCGGTGCTGCTGCCGCTGCTGGGGGCGCAGGGCCCGCTCGGTGCGGCCCCCGGGGAGGCGGCGGGAGAAGGCGGCTCCCGTGGGCGGTGCAGGCCTCGCCATAGAGACGCTGCTGGGCCGTCCGAGGGGGGGTCACTGCAAGGCCTCGGCACCCTTTTTCCCTTAGGGTGGCCTCTCTCTTATTGGACCAGCTCGGTAGTTGGGATAAAGTCAGGCCATCTTTTCAGGGCAAAACCGCCTTCCTCGGGGCCTCGAACAGGAGAAGCTGGGCCGCAAGTGGAGTGGAGCAGAGCAGAGGGGGCGGGCGGAGAGAGACTCCCCGTGCGCCGGGCATGAGGCTTGTCAAAAGGGAGAAGGGGCCTCCCTGCCCTTGCAGGGAAAGCATTCAAGGGTTGGATACATTGGATAACTAGGCCATAAATCCAACATCAGCATTTCGTCCGTGGTTCTTAGCGTCCAGCCACCCTGGTTCATATGTCCGTTCCTAGGTTCGCCCTTTAAAGGTGTGAGGTAGATTTCATTTCCCCCGAGCGCCAGGGTAGGGAGGGCGAGCTGAGGCGGGGTGGTTACTCTGTGGGAGGTGTGTTCCCAATGGTCTTTTCTAACTACAGAGCTGGTCCAATAAACAAAACCACCCTAAAAAATCCTTGCTGCTTGTGTCATTTTTGCACCATCATGGCCACATCACTTTTCCACTACTAAACTTTAATGCACCAGAAACGAAAAATTAATCCAAGTCCGCCCCAAATGTGATCCGTTCCTTCTTTTTTGGGTAACATGAAAATTAATTGTCATTTCTTTTTTTTTAGTCTTTCAGCCTTCTTTTATCTACATGTCCGGGCCCATTGTTAATTCTGTT